GTCGCAACAAGCACTCCAGAATTGGATCGAACGAATGCTGCTTCTACTTCTAGACTTGGTTAAGGCAAACCTGTAAGAAAGTCTCTCTGTTTTGAAGGTGATGATGACTCAGACGATATATATATGGAAATTGAAGATTTAATTGAACCGTCAGAAGATAGTGATGAGATGGATGATGTCATTCAAATGGGAACAGTTTTAGAAGTAACAGTGGGTTCATATGTTTTGTGTGAATTTGCAGGAAAAAGGAAAATGTGCTACAGTGGAATCCTGTTATTACGAGAGGGAGGGGACCGGTGCAAAATGTCCGTTATAACAGGATTCTCGCTATAAGGGATCCAGTAATAAATTCAAGGGAAACTGTAAAGTAGGCCTAATCTATGAGTTTGATGTTCTGTTTACTTCCTTTTGCTATCTCCCCTGATAATGATTTTGTTTCAACATGACCTCTAGGTCTTACTTGATCAAAAATCGAATCAGGTTTCTTTCTCTAGCGCTAGCGATGTTGACTGACAGCTCGGTATTGGCGATCAGAAAGAAAGGGCTCTGGGCTAACTCGCCCGCTGTGTTTTCCCCCACCCCACCATACCTTGTAGTACATTTCATCTGCTTGCGCACGTCACACATTCGCTCCATCCATCACATTGCTGTGACCTCTCCATCCCCGCATAAGAGAAGTGAGAGGCATGGTATACCTTGATAATCTAAACTAGGCTTACACTGGCCTCCCTAATCATTCGCTCCGGCCTTCATTGTTGACACACGTGGGCTCTCCAATTCTTTGTTTCGCTAGATCACCAACAAGTTTCTCAACTGGGGAGGTTTTACAATATAATGTATAATTGGCCTATGCACTGTGCACAGCAGCAGCAACATTCTGCTATAACCGACTCGCATGTTTGTCTGATAGCGCTATAGCAGTATTTTATTTACAAAGGTAAAGAAGAGAAAAAAAACCGGGGTTTTCGAATAGTGTCTTTATAACCGACTTCTCGTTTTTTCCGGACTCATCATCACCGCGGAGTAGAAGTCCTGCTTTGTGGCATGTTTTCTTAAATCTTTAAAAATTGTTCCATGTATTAATATTATGTATCATCAATTTATCTTATAAAAGTCACAATTATTAGTGCCTTACCTGTTGATTCTGGTTTAATTTGTCTGTCCCCGTAGGATTATGCGATTGTGCGGCCGCGTTTTTTCGTGTAATTCTGCAACATTTGCATAATTTTGGATTATCCCCGTTTTTTCACAAAACAATTTAATTAACGCCTCGCCATGTGACTAAAGGGATGTAATCACCGTAATAAGTCTCATTTAAGTGAAAAGTTGGTTATTTCCCTTGTTAAAAGATCTTGGTTCCTTGATCATGTGTTCAATTTTTCAATCCATCAAAAGTTGTTCTCAGGTCTGCTGAAGCCTGAGCTCGGTCCGACGTTGTGTCCTTGGGAAAGGCACTTTACACGAACTTCCCACTTGGCTCGGTCCTATCGGAGACGGGCGTTAAATTAGGAGGCCCCACCTCTTAAATAACCTAATAGTGTTGATAGGGGCGTTAAACTCATACCATTTCACCATTTTCACCAGGTCTGCTGATGTTTCAAGTTTGACAGGTGTCCCTGGTTTTAGTAAAGTGCCAGCATCAGAGGTCCAGATGTCCTTTTTAAAATTGTTTTTAAAAAATTTTTCTTTCCTCTATAGATCAAAATCTACAGCTGAAAGTTACAGAGATTATTAATTATCTTTGATTGTTGTTTTTTCTGATGTGTATTGTTTTCTTTTCCAAATACACAAGAAATTACTGATACTGATATGTTCTGTTTTCAATTTTTCTAGGTAGGCCTACCACAAGCGAAAATTTTTTGGAACAATATTGACGTTTAAACTTCAGGGGTTCAAATCTACTCTATGAAACAAGAACATTAAAAAAAGAATTATCAAAATCCATCAATAAACAATCGAGATATGGTATTTCAAAGTTTTATTTTTGAACGAAACCTTTTCAACTGCGACTTTCACTCATGTTTGAGGTGTTCTGAAATACAAAGTGCATGATCAAATCAATGAAATTTTTCCCAGAGCTGTCAACACAAATATATTGATATCTCTAAATCAAAGCATGTTAGAATGACTGGTTTCCAAGATATAGGCCTTCAAAAATTGAAAAAAAAAGCCAAAATTTGTCATTAAGAGCTCAGAACCCTATTTTAACCTCTTCAAAATTAGTCAAAACTGCCTCCTCATTAGTGAAAATCACACAATCATTACAAATACATGCACAGACTTAGCTGAATTTTTTTCAGACCTCTCTGACCATAAGTAACTTTTCTGGACTCCTCTGAAGTGGGCTTCGGTGCAAAAAACGCCTCTTGGAAAAAAATTATGGGAATTCTGGTACATCCTCGGGCAAAAAGCATCACAACAAGTGAACAAATTAAGCTACAGGGCTAAATCATACATCAAATTAAAGCTCAATGCAAGCTCTACGGGGCCAAATGAAAACTACTTAATATTAGGTATTATTACAGTTTCCCTCCCCAACCACAATGCATATAGTGTCGTATATTTTCTGAAAGATCTTGATTTGCTGATAACGAATATGACTGATTTTTCTTTGTGCAAATAAATACTTTTTGAGATTATGGTGTTTAAAGTTTTATTTTTTCTCTATTTGTCATTACTATATTATTGCTAGAGTTAGTTTTTTTGGGGGGCCAAGGTTATGAGCGGGTGTGAAACTATAAATTTACCCATAGATCGTGTTTGGGGTACTGTTTCTGAATATTGTCATATTTTTAAAGTGTTTCATTACTGGTGGTAAACATTTCTTTATTTTAGCAACCAGTGATCAACCCAGTGCCAGTGGTTCCAACATTGGAAAGACCAACACTGAAAAAGGCCACCCAAGCCCTTCTGATCAGAAGTTGTCAGTAGAGGGAACCTGTATTGAAACAAGAGACTCAATGACTGCTGAGAGGAAGGAGACAGTGGATGAGCCCGAAGCAGGTTAGAATTTTAGCAATATAAATTGAAGGTCTAGAGTTTGATGATAGTAATCTGCAATATACCAGAATGATTCCCCCCTCCAAAGCTTTTGAACTTAAATTAGTCTAAATTTGTTGTCACTTTTTAAAGAACTCATTTCTGTGTGGATTTTTTTTTTAAACGTTGATTAAAGGCACCAAAAATATAAATTTTTCAGTTACCATGGACTCTTAAGCTAAGGAAAAAACTAATCTTTGGCAACCATTTTCTCATTAATTTTACCTCTGAAAACAGGTGACCCCCACCTCCTTCATTCGCAAATATCTTGACTGGTATTCAAGATAAATGGATATTGTTTTCCGCCAAATAAAGACAAGTGAACAAGCTTTAAGATGATACCAATAACTCTACATGCTCAAAAACTAACGAGAGCCTGATTCCACCACGCTGCCTCACATTTATTTTCTGTTTTACCTTATACAGTGGAATTCGGATTCAACGAGGTTGCCGGGCCTGACCTAAAATCTCGTTGAGTCCAAGTGTTCGTTACAGCAAACACGTGGTTTTTATGTAAATAATTACAGGCACTGAGCAAGTAATCATGTATAAAGAAGAAGTCACAAGTAGTGCCTGAGTATTAAGAGCCGCGTAAAAAAAAGACCGATTCGTTCAAATGCACACGTCTGTGTAATCTCGATTGTTTACCAAAACTTGTGTTACTGTGTAGAGCCTAGCATATGGCAACTTTTGATTCCATAGACTAGCACACAATTCATTACGTAGATCTACGTCAGGACTAGCTTATCATAGTAATAATGATCAGTTGCTGAGGGGAAAAAAGACTGTGACGCGTTTGTATCTGCGACGTTCCACGCCCGGACCGCTAGCCCCCCCCCCCCCCCATCCAACCCCGACACACGCCAGAATAGACACGTGCGCGTGCCAACAATGCATGTGCTGGTTTGAAAAAAGGCAGCTGACTGGTCGCATGCAATCGACAAGTGAATAAAGGTTCACAATGCAGGTGCAATGGATCGTTTCCTGGAATAGATATAGTTCGTTTTGGGAGAAAAATGAGCAAAGTCACATCCGCGCGGGCTGTTCATCCTGGAAGTGACCTCGTTGAATCCGAGCTGGCTGATTTAAGTGCTCGCTGAATCCGGGTTATTTTTTAAATTGATTTTAAAGAAGAAAAAAAAAAACGGGGAATCCATCTCATCTCGTTGAATCCGATCTCGTTATATCCGAGTTCCACTGTATCATGTTTTTAACATAAAAAAGTTTGTTATGTCTTAGTGTCGCTGATGACAAATGACACCACTGGATGCTTATTTCAGGAGTATAAAATTATTTTTTAAGGTTGAAATTTCTCTTGCTGATAAATGTAAGCAAAATAGGCTTGCAATTAAAATTCCAAGTAGTTGTGAACTTCCTGAGTTGTCTTCCTGTGTCCTTTTTATTGTTATCTGTCATAAGTGACACTTTGGTCATTTTCTGTGTTTGGGTCATATCACAGGTCATCTGCCCCACATAATTTCATCTTTTTGCCATAAGAATAACAAAGATGAGGCTTCCATCTACCACATATGTGGTTTCTGAACAAAAACAGAACTTAAAAAAATATTTACAATGAAAGGCACCGTTTGACCTTGGCTCAGGTGTAGATCTTTCCTACCAGAAATTCAGGAGTGTGGCTGAAAGACAGCAGTGGGGGCAGAAAGTGGAGACGAAAGAAGACGACAGAATTTTGTTGGAGGGCAGGAAAGGAGGTGAAAGGAGACAATTTTTACTGAGGAACATTTTTCGGTTGCTACCTGGACTCGAATACAGGACATTTGATTGAGAGGCAAACACCTTAACCTCTAGGCCATGAAAGCCACCAATGTTAGGCGTGTCACCAAAGCATCTCCAAAAATCCATAAAGTATTATAAAGTACTCTCAATCAAACTTTTCTATTTTCATTTCAGAGATGTTAGCTTATTTTGAAAATAAATTGTTAACAAAATAACTCTCCAACTTTGTTTGTGAGATTAACTTTATTTGCTGTTATTGTGTCACCTTAGCTTTATACTTTTTGTTGAACCTGCCAAACTTACGTAACTCATATAATCAACAACAACAACAAAAAAGCCTCCACAAGCTTGAAGAAACCTACCAGAAAGAATGATTAATTATTAAAGCAATCTTCAATTTACCCTTTGAAGACCATGAATGGTATTTTAACTGATCTCTATAAAATGAACTAACTCAGCCATGAACATTGACCAAGTTTGCCTAAATAATTTGGTAGGACAGCAAAGTCCCACCAAGTTGTTTTGGGCGGATTTTATTAATTTGATACCTTCTATACAGAAAAGTATAGCAGTATTGGCCATTATAATAATAATTCTAAAAAATGACGAAATTGAAAGTCTAACATGGAATGCACCATGTGTATGTATGTATTATTGTGTATGTATACATATGTGTTTTTTATTATATAATATGCCCCTATCAACACCATTTAGATCATTAAGGAGATGGGCTTTGACCTTACCCACCAGGGGCAATCCGGGCTGAGGAGAGGGATACTAATGTTCTAGCAGAAAGACCAAGATACTTGATAAAATTCCCCGACATGGGCATCAAACATGGTCCTCCCACCCTACATACAGCAGCAAAACACCTAACTCAGCTACATCACAGACACAGGTCTCATGACACAATAATGAACAACACAGACAAAATTTAATAAAAGCGAGATTTTACACGACTTGTCGGGAAAACCTGGCATTAAAAATGAGGCATCAAACAGTCACAATGCACATGTCACTGAGTGAGGTAGCCACCTAACAAACTTACATACATAGTCGTTGGTAACGCCCTACTATCTGGAATCACTTCAATCTCAAGAGCCACTTGTAGCACAATCCATCACCACAAAGAACATCAACTTGAGGAGCCAAAAATGTTTTTCATTACAAAGGATCGGCTCGCATCCTCATTAGCACCTGTGAATGTCTTTCTCTGCAGTTTTGCTTTCTTTTCACTGGACTCATCACTGCTTTTCCTTTTCTTGCCTTTCTTATTTGCCAGAATTTCCTCATCTGTCAATTTCTGCTGTGCACCATCACCAAATGTTCTTTTTTCAAAAACCTCACCTTTTTTCTCCTTCCTCTTCTTCATTTCTTGCAAAGTTTTACTTTTCTCAATGTTACTCACATAATAGTTTGTTTGTTTTTTGACCTGAGAAATGTCAGCACGGATCCTACTGTCGTACGTCGCTCTCTTCAGCTCTCTATCAGCATTCACATCTGTCCAGGTAAATTTAGGCAAGTATTTTATGTTCCAGATACAGTTGTACCACGGATTTCTTTTCTTGCCACCAACTTGAGTGTTGTTGAGAGCCACGGCGACATACTTGGCCACTTTCCTCTGTCGGAATTCCACCCAGCCCTCACTAAACAAAAGGCCTTTCTTGTATGAGTAGCTCTTCTCTGTTGAAAAAAAAACCCCAAACACGCAGCATTTAATCATGATCATCTAATTAATATCTTTTGTTGTTAGTTTCAGTAAGACTTTTATGGCACATGCAACACAATAAGGGCAAAAGTGTAAAAAAAAATAGAATTTGCGTTACAAGTAGCCTACAAGGGAGAAACGTAACAAACACACAAAAAAGAGGGGAGATAAGAACGATAGATCATGTTTAATAGGAAAGAAGGAGCAAACCACAAGATTGGAAAACGTTAGTGGTTGGCTGCTGCTTTGGCGCAATCTATAATTTCAATACAGTAGAGTCCACTTAAACCAATAAGCACAATGAATCTGAAAGAAGAAAATACACCCTATTTATTTTTTCTATTCTGTTATCTGAGCAAACTCTCTAACCAAAGAAAAATCCTGTGGCCCTTCAGATTTCAGTAGACTAGTAGACTGACACTCCACTGTATGTATGTTAATGTTATACATACCCCCCCCCCCCCCCCCCCCGGGCAGTGCCACTGACTGAAGTGTCTTTTGGCCATTCCCAAAGGGGGGACATTCTCGTTCAAACATAGTAGAATTGTAAATGGGCTGACTCATGTCACGCTCATAACTGTGCCTGATCTACAACAGGGAACTGCTGCTTTTTCTTTCATGATCCTTACTATTGTCATTTTTCTAGACTCTACTTTTTTTATATGTTTGTCACTCCCTTGTGACCTGCTATTTTGGGGTGCCTTGATAGTTGAAGCAGGCCTTGTGCTGTTGAAGATAGAGAGGTGAGCAGTCTAAGTCTGATTCCCTGTAAAGACTTCTCTGTTGACACCCACCCCTTGGTGTGCTCATATGACCTTATGCAGTTGCGAGCGCCATAAAACCCTCTATCATAAATTTAAAAAAAAAAACCCATAAAAAAGTACCACAAAGATGCCCTGAAAATGTCTTAGCAAGGCTCCCAATATTTAGCCTTGACATAGGAGGAAAGAGCCTGACAGACCCAGCTGGAGAGCAGAAAAATATGGGGATTTAAAAAAATTAGAAATATTGACACCATAAAGTAGAGAAGGCGGCTAGCTGAACATTTGCAGATCCAAAGCTTTTGAATGCTCAAAATGTGGTAAGTCACAAAAAAGTCACAAGTCATCCTAATCCTAATTTATTTTCAAATCATTTAATAAAATAAATCATGATTTAAGAAATTATATCTAATTTTCCTCAGGAAAATTGAAAGCACCTAACAAAGGCGCAATGAGTGCATAGGTGACTGTCACTGGGGAAAGTGTGTCGTAAACTTTCACCCCATTGTCAAGGTTAGAAGAGCGTGAGCCCTTAGAAAAGAGAGAGCGAGTTAATAAGACATTACAAGTATTCTTTGTATTCTCTCTCTCTCTCTCTCACACACTCAGTCACCCACTCATCTTAGATCTCTCTGTGTGCATGTTTGTCGTTTTAACTATAGTAGTCTATTAGTTCTCCCCCCCCCCCCCCTCTATCTCTCTCTCTCTCTCTCTCTCTCTCTCTCCCTCTCTATTCTGCTATTGCAGCGTTCCCTGGTACATTGTGAATATCTAATACTAATTGACACTATTGACTATCTTTTGATTTCTAATAATGCAAATACTCCTAACCTAAAGATCCTGTCATCAATAAACTATCGCATCAACACGATCAATAATATTGCATAGAGAGGATATTCTAGGCCTAGATTTCGTGATTGTCAATGTCTAGGCCTAGACTAGATCATGTAGAGTAGATCGTGAGCCTAGGCACCCGGTGCCCGGTACCGGTATACACAGTACACTATCCTCTGATCTTGATCACTCATTACCGAAGTGAGAGTACATGCATTTTTAAATCTAATGTTTTTGTTTTTAAATAATTTAGATTTAGGTAAATTATTGGAATACGTTGATCAATACTTTAGTTTGGTAGATAGATCTACATAACATAATACATAATTATTTAGATCTATATCTAGATCTAGATTAGAATCATGGGCCCTAGAGTAGGATAAACTAGGACGCTTTCATACTCTGTCCAACAAGCCCTAGGCCAAACCATCGGGGCTCCGTTACACGCTTGCTGGGGGCGAGGCCTACCATATTTTACGCAGTGGTCTGGCACATCGAATCTAGAATCTAGTAGTAGAATCTAGGGCGATCTTGTAGTTCCGTTCGTTAAAGTCCATGATCCATTTGTTAACCTACATACAGAGAAGAAATCTTCCAGTCTTGATGAGACTAAATACTAGATCTAGATCTAGATCTAGAGTACCTGGCCCAACCCGCGACCACTTGTCGTGTTTTGCTTCTCAGCGGTCTCTGTCAGCAAACTAGACAATGCACGTAACTCTAATAAAACATATTGCACACGAGCTGCTCAGAAGGAAAAATGGGGAACTGGTAGAGGTGGGCGGTTCCTGTTTTTTTCGGTAACCGTAGATTCTCGAATATTAAAGGCTAGGAATCATAGGAATCGGTGCCGAACCCAATTACTTTCTTTATAGACAGTGATGTGATTTTTTCAAGTGGTTTCAACCCGTACCCAGTATTATGATTATATATAATGCAGCGACTAGCAGTTAGCCCGACCCCTGCAATGACCTCCGGCGAGAGTAGCAATTAGTCCGACCCTTGCAATTACTCCCAGCTAGTCCGACACCTGCAATTATTTCCGGCAAGTAGCAATTACTCTGACCCCAGCAATTATTTCCACCGAGTCGCAATACCTATGACTACTTCCGGCGAGTAGCAATTACTCCGACCCCAGCAATTATTTCCGCCGAGTCGCGATACCCATGACTACTTCCGGCGAGACACGAGTTGTCCGACCCCAGCAATTACGTCAGGCGAGTAACGATTAGAAAGTCCGATCCCTTTGATTACTTGGGGTGGGAGGGCGCTACCCCACCCAACCTCTACAGTATGAAGTCAGAGACCAACACTGACCTACACCGAGAAATGAGAGTCTATAATATAGAGCCTCGTGGGCAGACGTTAGTTTTAGATTTTGAATTGAAAGAAAAGGGAGTATTATATAATTTAAAAACAACAACAGATGAATGAGAAAAAGGCGAAAGCAACGAATAAGTTTTGACACTGTATGCTAGATCGATATAATCTTTGACAATGACTTTGCATCCCGACTACTCTTTCTTTTAAGTCTTCAAGATTCAGGATAACCTAGATTTCAGAACATAGCAAAGCACCAACATTCTTTGAGAAAAAAATAAGATAAAAATAGAGTAATTGAGAATCGTTAGTTTACGAAAAAGGGATCGGTTCTTTTTCTCAGAAGCAATAATCGCAGGAATCGGTTCTGGAATCGATTCTTGGCCCACCACTAGGAACTGGTCGCGCTCAGGGCACGGTCGCGCCAAAAGGGTGGGATAGTATAGATCTATTTGAAATAGGCTACACAAAGAGCAGGGATGCAACCTAACTGCAAAACATCAAGGAAGTGGCTATTCTCACCAGGGGTGAGAATAAAAATATGATCTACCTCTCACCCCGGGTGAAACTTGCCAGCGTAGGCTATTCTCACCCGGTGTGAAACAAAACCTGTTTTTCCTCATTTGGAATACTGTCTATCGGTGTGGACGATCAAATTGATAAAAGCCAAGAAAAAATTACGTGATAGCAAAAAAGTAAGTTAATTTGATCATTTTCAAAGATGCTATGGCTATTTCACTTTTCAAATCGAGCCGAACTACGCGGGTCGCCATTTTGTTTTGCCCGGAAGTTTTCGCAAGAGCTACTCCTCCCCCCTCTCTCTCTCTCTGTCTCTTTCTGAATACTGTCTATCGGTGTGGACCAGGGTTGGTGATTTTTTTGATTTTTTACATAAAAATATAAAAAAATCGATTTTAAAAATTTAAATCAAGATTTTTAAAATTAAAATCGGATTTTAATTTTTTTTTATTTTAAAAAAAAATGTCGACAGTTTGGGATTTTTGGTGGCTAAAAGTAAGTTCTTTTAGTGCAAAATCCATTGTCTTTATTTTAACTAATGATTAATTTAAGCAACTGCAATTTTAGAAAGCCTTATTCTGCTAGATCTCCTATATCAGTGAATTATGGCTACAGACAAAAAATGAAGAAAATGTCAGTCTAAAAGGAAGGGGGGGGGGGGGTAACTATGCGTAGATAAACTTGCATTTTTATTACAGTGTGTGAGTGTGCACGCTTGTGTTTGTCTAAAAAGAAAATGAAAATGCTAATTTCAATTATGAAAAAAGAGTAAATTGAATAGACCTTCAGTATTATTTTACTACTTACAGTGACAGGGGGGAAAGCAGACTTTTAAACATGATTATTTTAGTCTACTAAACCTTATATTACCTGTTTTATAAAACCAAGGAAAGGAATTCTGAATGTTTAAAGATGTAAAAACAGAATACTTTTTTAAAAAGTGATTTAAATCACTGAGTTTTAATTTTAAAATCAAGTTGATTTAAATTTTTTAAAATCAACTGATTTAAATCGACTTGATTTAAATCAACCCAACCCTGGATTTCAATTATGAAAAAAAAGAAAATTGAGAACTAACTGTATTTAGGCGGATTTCACGGTAATTTTACAGTGACAGGGGGGGAAAGCAGACTTTTAACATGATTATAATATAGTCTAACCAAGGAAAGGAATTCTGAATGTTTAAATATAGATCTATGTAAAAACTGAATATTTTTTTGAAAAGTGATTTAATTCACTGATTTTTATTTTTAAAATCAAGTTGATTAAAATTTAAAAAATCAACTGATTTAAATCAACCCTGCTCTGATTTCAATTATGGAAAAAAAAGTAATTTGAATCTGTATTATTTTACAGTGAAAGGCCAGGGGGGAAAGCAGACTTTTAAAAGCATGAATATATATATTAGTCTACTAAACCTTATATCTGTTTTATGAAACCAAGGAAAGGAATTCTGAATGTTGAAATGTGTAAAAACTGAATAAAAATAAATATTTAAAAAAGTGATTAAATCACTGATTTTAATTTTAAAAATCAAGTTGATTTAAATTTAAAAAATCAACTGATTTAAATCAACCCAACCCTGGTGTGGACGATCAAATTGACCAAAACAAAGTTTAAAAATGATGTTAAAAAACAAAACTAAATTAATTTGGTTATCTACAAAGATGCTACGGTTATAACTTTCCGAATCGAGCTGAACTATGCGGGTCGCCATTTTGCTTTGCCCGAAAGTTCTCTATTCCTCTCTCTCCACTGCCCACAGACAAAATTGCACGCTTTTATGCTAACACTAACAGTAGTAATAGATCTAGAACGTTTGTTCACAGCCCAGAATTCTATATAAATTAATGGGAGTGTATACAGACCCGGTAACCGGGAACAAAGTCACGAAGTATACAGACCCGGTAGGGGAACTCTTTTGTGAATTCGGAAAGTTTCAGCGCCCTCTTGGCTCAGGGTAGACCTAGACCTAATATCTAGGTTCTTCTAGATCTAGAATTAAGATCTATGGCCTAGGTCTAGATAGACAGACACAAATCATTGATCTAGTTTCGATGTTAGCCTAGATCTAGATCTCTATAGACTATATATCTAACTAGATCTCTAAATGAAGATTACGGATGTCTTTTCGATGAACGATCGTTTTTCCTCCGTTTTTGGACTTGGAGGAATCACAATTTGAAGAAAAGAACAATGTCATAATTTCAATCGAGCAGTCTCTCTCTCTACTCTCTCTCTGTATCGCTCGCATTCTCTTTTTCTTTGTTTGTCTCTGTCTTTCTTTCTCCCCACCTATCTTTTTCTTGTTCCCTCATGTTAGCTGGGGCATGTCATATTTTGCTAGCACTTTCCCCTGCTCTCTCTCTCTCTCTCCTCAGACACACACACACACACTACCGGGTCTGGGCGCTGAAACTTTCCGACCTCACAAAAGAGTTCCCCTACCGGGTCTGTATACTTCGTGACTTTGTTCCCGGTTACCGGGTCTGTATACACTTCGTAAATTAATTCTGTTACCACAGTGTGTAGAATTATGTGGTTCAGGGTGAACGCTTCACTGGTTGGCCTAGGCTATAACGGTGAACGCCCACCTGGTGAGAATAGCCAAAAGCCAAAAGACTCGCCTGCGAGAATACAGGTGGTCAAACATCAAATTAGGATAATGGATAAAATTAAGAGGGGCACCCCCCCTCCCCTCCATTGTCATGTTTATTAGTATTTCTAGATCTAGATTAACTTACCAACAGGTTGAAAAAAGGTCCTATTTATTTCCCCAAATTCTTCGAATGTGTTTCTCAACCTCTGAACAGTCATGAATTCGGGCACGGCGCTGAGATATATTATTCCTGGTCTCTCGGATTCGAGCGAATGTGAACGTTTTTTAGAAGGGCGAGCAAACTGAAGTTGAGGGCTCTGTTCCTGATCGGAACTACTGGCCTCGTCCATGCTAATTTGTTGTCCGTCCATTCTTCTATCCTCATTCAACCAGACACAAGTGTCACAACAGGACAAAACCACAACACAACATCAAACACATGGGAGGGAACTGGACACTGGACCTTAGTGATAGGCAGGTATCGATACCAGGTATTCGATACTTAGATACCTATAGGTATTGGTATCGGTACCGATACCTGCTCTAAACATCGATACCTATGTGTTGTTTATCCCAGGGCCGCCAAAGCAAGTGACTTGGGCCTTGAGAATTTTTTGTTTATCAAAACTGATAAGTTTTCGTAGAGGTCAAGCGCTTTAAATTAATCGAGTGGTTTTTTTTACAAAAAGAGAGAAGTTTTTCATGAAATGTTTCTAGTGATTTTGCAAAATCCTCACTGACAACCCTGATTTATCCTCATTGGTTTAATTTAAAGTTGCTAAAAATCTGGTAAATTGAATTGCCTTTTTAGAACTCTTGTGTTTTTATTTTCCAATACTAACATTTCATGCAAAGTTGACTTTCCTCCCATACTTCACTTAATTTTTGTTTTTATTCTCATATTTGGGTATATTTCTCTCTCTCTCTCTCTCTCTCTCTCTCTCTCTCTCTCTCTCTCTCTCTCTTTTACAAATAATTTTTGTTTGAGTCTCAGCTAAATAGTCACAACTTGTCTAGACACGATTGCCTAAATACTTGGAAAAAAATAGTTGTATTTTTGTTTTTACTTATTACCCCCGCTGTATTTTACCAATAGCATTAGGTATCGAGGTATTGGTATCGATACCTTGAAAAAGTACTAGGTATCGACATCGATACCTAAATTGTGGTATCGGCCCATCACTACTGGACCTGGACTGGGAAAGATGTTGATGATGAATAACGAATAGATGCAAAGATCTATTTTTAGCACAAATAAAATTAATGCCACGTTGGCTCCTTATTTCATACTCATCAAAATCTCTCTCCTCCCCTCTGTCCCCCTCGCCTTCCTTTTTCTTTTTGTGTACACGTTTTATCACATGAACTTTATGAAAAACATTGATATTGCTATAAATTTTTGGGATAACAAAAGTACGGAGGTTGTTGTTTCCAAACCTACAACGATTTGCCATGCCATTATACATTTGTTTGTCCGGCTGTAAAATTCTGACTAAACAACGATTCCGTTCTCATTTTTTTGTGAACAGGGCTCAAAACTCGGGGCCTTCCTCTGGTGAGGCCCAGAAAATTTCGAATTGCGGATCTTCCTGATGACAGCTTCCAGAACCTACCCCCCCCCCCCCCCCCCCCTTTATAAAAATTTCAAGTGCTCACGTTGGTGACACTTGTCTAGTCTTTTTAGTTACTCCATCTCCTTATTGGGGGTCCCCTGCAACGCCCGTTTTTGGGAACTTTCCTCTCTTTAGCCTAATGATTTTCCCCATGTTGTCTTGACTTTTACCAATCGTTCTAAGTATTAACTTTTAACTATTCTAATTACGACAAAGAGATAGGTAACTTTCAGTACAGCCCTTTGGTTCATGGCAATTTTAATCAGCTTTGTATGATTTCAACTTTTGAAAAATGGCGAACTCAATTTTTTTTCTCGTCTTCTTTGATGTCATATATGATCTCAATTTCTTTCCATATATTTTTACAATAAAAATTCTGTCTTTGCTAATTATCCTTTAATAAACTCATGATGTGTTATGGAGTCTTCCAAACAGTGTTATATTTTTCACCCCGGTTCATCGTTGAACAACCAGGCTCAGGTTATCTCTCAGCACAACACTGTACAGTGGGCCTATCTATTTGATCTATTTTGATTTTTCCCCTTCCATTTAATTCTCAATAGTCATGAAATCATGTTACTGCGTATCGTCTCAATTTTATAATTTTGTTATCTCTGCTAATTGTACAACATTATGTCGATCCAGCGCCATTCATTGCACAGCCGTAATCCAAAAGATTGACCACATCCAGCCTTTTAAAACTTTTATTTTGAATGTCGTCAAGAGAAGTCACTGTTTTTCAAATTGTACTCATATATTATAGGAACTGTGCTTAGACTTTTGGGGTAGTCACAATAATACAATATTGCAATCCCATTTTAATTTCCCCTTTTCATAATTTGTTTTCTTTTCCTATTGCTTTTCAGTTTCACGTCGTGAGACTCACTTTTTCTTTTTCATTTTCGTATTTTTCCACGAGGGGATGAAAATGTATGGGTTTTTTTTTTATCGAGAACCGTACTAAAAAAAACCCAAAAAAAACGTTATAATGTATGTATATAAACCTGTCTCTGCAAGTAGCTTTTTCTGATTGAGGACATAAATTGCGCACAGCATGAACGGAAATGTTGCTCGACCAAAACACTGGGAGCAGATGACGGAAGTTTATTAGAAAACCGGATGTTACTATGGCTTTTCCAAGGAGGATCCTAGGATAAAGCCTTAGCCTTAGCCTTACTTCTATTTTGCGAACCAGTGTGTCTGGGAATATTCTTACATTACATGTTTGAGCACTGCTCTTTGAAGATGATTCCCTGTTTATGACATTGCTGGATGTGCCAGTTAATGTAGACTAGCTAGATTATCTAGATCTAGATCTAGATTCTAGATCTAATCTAGAGACTTATTATTATTCATTTCGAATGTCTTGGAGTTTCTGATAAAGAGTCCGATTTTTTATAAGAAGGTGAGAGTACTGAGAGTCGATCTCTTGATTCTAGAATATGAAAAAATTTTATTCGGACTCGAGTCCGAATAATGACGGCCTATTGTTATATGCCACCTCTATTCTCACCCGGAGTGAGAATAGTGCAGGCGAGTCTTGTGGCTATTCTCACCCGGTGCGCGTTCACCAAATTTTTCGTTCACCCTAAACCACAGAATTCTACACTGTGATAACAGAAAAATTGTAGAATTCTGTGCCGTGAACAAACGTTCCATAACAACTGTAGCCTACTAAAAGCGTACAATTTTGTCTGTGGGCAGTGGAGAGAGAGAGAGAGGAGTAGCGTGAGAATTTCCGGGCAAAACAAAATGGCGACCCGCGTAGTTCGGCTCGATTCGAAAAGTTAAATAGCCGTAGCATCTTTGTAGACAACCAAATTAATTTACTTTTGTGTTTTAACATCATTTTTTAACTTTGTTTTGGTCAATTTGATCGTCCACACCGATAGACTGTATTCAGAATGAGACAGAGAGAGAGAGAAGAGGGGAGGAGTTGATCTTGCGAGAACTTCCAGGCGGGTGAGAATAGCCACTTTCATGCGGATTATAATCTGCATCTAGATCTAGGATCTAGATCTAGAAATAGAAATAGTTTATTCGCTCAGGGTGTGTGAGTACTGAGTATGGAAATTTTATTTATTTGCACATCACAGGGTGTGCGAATACTATGAAATTTTATTCACACAGGGTGTGTGAATACTAGATCTAGATTTAGATCTATAAAATTTTATACGCACAGGGTGTGGGAATACTGCGAAATGTTATTCGCACAGGATGTGTGAATACTATGAAATTATATTCACACAGAAGAGGGTGTGTGGTGAATATTACAAAATATTAACTTACGGAGTGTCTACACACTACACGTACACAGTAACCTGGCACCTAGTCTCTGTGTTTACGTACACTGTAATCGGCAACCGGGCACGTGTAGTCTCAGTGTCACGTACACGGTAACCGGGCAGGTAGCCTCAATATCTACGTACACGGTAATCGGCAACCGGGCATGTAGTGTAAGTGTCACGTACAGGGTAACCGGGCATGTAGCCCAATATCTACGTACACGGTAACCGGCAACTGGGCATAATGTAGTCTAAGTGTCACGTACAGGGCAACCGGGCAGTTCAGAACTCCAAGTTCAGTTTTTGGCATCCGGTGTAGCCTTCATCCCCACCCCTCCCCCGACTGTACCTTAACCCTTAGAGTGCTGATCGCAACCACCGGTCGCGGCGGCCCGAACTTCTGTTAAGTGCTGATCGCGACCGCCGGTCACGATAGACATTGGCATAGTATAACGCGATATATATATATATATATATATATATATATATATATATATATAAAAAGGACGAAGTACTAATTTTTATACTGCTGGCTGGTAGGCTGCGCAGAATTGATTTCGGCCGCCATTTTTCTTGTCACGGGTTTCGATCGAGGCGCAGGGAGTTTTTTGTTTCACGTTGAAGTCGAGTGACAGTGAAGTCGGAAAATTCTCGATTGCGACCAGCAACAAACATGAAAATAGTGTTGAATCAGATTCAGATGAATATGTTCCGTGTATTTTCCTTGAATCGGAAGATGGTTTCGAGGGTTTTGATGCTAGAGCTAACACTTTGTGAATATAACGTAGGCCTACGAAGCATCTAGACTCTGGTCTAGATCTAGAGATCTAATGAACCTGCAATTTTTATTCAGTCATTTCCAACACGACTTCTACAACAATAACTTCACAAAATACTTTTTGCTTGTTCTGAACATATTCGTAAAGAACTTTCAATATTCTAAAACTTTTTTCCTGACCTGGTCTTTGTTAGAAATTTTGACAAATAAAAAAGTTATTAGCCAAAAAAAAGCATGTATGTGCAAACATGGCGTTTTTCCAAAATAAATTCAGCACAGAGGGAAAATATAAGGGGAAAGAAGTCAGCGCTCTAAGGGTAAAAAATAAAAAATCAATAATCCCCCTGTTCCGGAGCCCTATACATCGCAACGCACAGACTTTGAATGAACTTTGGTGACCCCAACCGGTACTCACTGTAATGTGATGCACATGCGCAGGTTCAGTGACTGGTCACGATGGTGAGCCCGACAAGACGCTTGCATGACTTTCTTTTTTTTTTAGGAAGTGACAGCTGAGGGCAAATATTGATTTACATGTCATGTATTTTCATTCCGGTTACCGTGTACGTAGATACTGAGACTAGGTGCCCGGTTACCGTGTACGTAGATACTGAGACTAGGTGCCCGGTTACCGTGTACGTAGACACTCCTTATTATTGGCACAGGCCTTGCATTTCCTCATTTTTCCCCTCCTCGCGTACGGACAAAGATCACGTATATAACAAGAACAGTTCACTCCTCTCTTTGAGCCAATTAAAAGTTTCCTCAAAATTTGGTTGCACCCTCTTTGAAAAATTGCAGACTTTGCGAGTTCACTTAAAATTAACAGACTGTACTCCTATTGTTCTTCTGGAGAAACGAAAGAGAACTTCAAAATAAAGACTCCAGCGCCCACTGAAGCAATGCGTGGACTTTTGCAAACACCTGTCGGGCTGAGTGAACAATCTTGTAATGTGTTATCTTTGGCAGGGATAGATCTAATTCTAATTTTGCAATGCGATACGAAAAACCCCCACTCAATTGGAATTCAAATTGTGTATTGTGTCAATGATAATGACTCAAATCTCTCTTTTTCGCTTTTTGTTTTCCTTGTGCCTTGAGAGAGAGAGATGAGTGCATGCTTTAACCCTAAAACTGAAATAAGTGTATATTATATATACTACTGTACAGTTATTGAACATTTGAAGCCTTTGCCAAAAGGCTCGACCCTGTGCGAATAAAATTATTTCTTATTCGCACACCCAGTGTGAATAAAATTAATTCTGTGCGCACACCCGGTGTGAATAATCACTTCCTTTTTTCGGAGTGATTTTTCTCACCCGGGATGAGGATAAACTGGGATATTATTATTATTCTCACCCCGAGAATAAAATTGACACTATTCTCGGGTGAGAATAACACGACAGCCTACTACTATTCTCACCCGTTTTTTTTTTGTTTCCGCCCTTTTTATTTCATTTCGGGCATCATAGGACCCCTGTCACTGAGCACTCCAGGCGACAAAACTTGCCTCCCTCTCTCACTCAGGCGACTCGATTTGGGGAAAAACCTTATCTTTTGACTGAGAAAATAGTGTAGCGTCACCTTTTGTTGCTATTTATTGGTTCTGTAATGGAAAATTCTACTAATAAGGCACAGCGTGCCTTAAAAATAATCATGGGTTCTTTGGATATATTTTTTGTCTTGTTGTAAACAAATGCCAATTCTAACATTACAATGATGAACTACTAACATAATTTCATAAACAATTTTATTTTTAAAAACATAGTACTCTGGCAAGTGATTTCCTTTCTGAATTAGAAGGGCGGGTTGGGTGAAGATGCATGCGTGCATACTCTGAAGATTCTAAAAAATGGAGCAATACATTCCCCGCAGGAGCCTAGCAAAATCGGCCAGCGCTCTGAGGCAGGTCATGAACGGTCACTCTTACAATTCACAAATTATTTATTTAAATCTTATTATAGCCTACATGATGTGAATCTCTAGATCTAGGCCTCCCCGTTCTCAACACCCAGGTAGGCAGGCCTAAGAATAAAAATTCATTGCATTCTCAGAGCGGGTGAGAATAATATATTATTGATTATTCTCACCCCGGGTGAGAATAAAATGGATATTATTGTCACCCTGGGTGAGAATATAAAATACTAGATTCTATATATATATATTTTTATTTTCACCTCTGGTGAGAACAATGACAGAGTATTGTTACTTGTCGTCTTAGGTAAGTTTGAACTTTGGTGGACCTAACAACGAAGGCTCTTTGGAAATTGCCTTCCCGTTCCATAGCGATTCTTCTGAAACTGATAATTGATCATTTGCCCTGTAAACGTGAAGATTGTAGGTTTTTTTGAAATTATAATTTTGCAAGAGGAGCAAGCCCCCTGAACCCCCCCCCCCCCCCCCCCCACTTACAGGAGGGCTAGCCCCCCTGATACCCCCCACTGTTATCATGGCTAGTGCGCATACACATTAAACACGGTGGGTCCATTTAAGTTCAATCCGGCCAAAAAAAATTTTGAATACAAAAAGGCAGAAAAATATTACTGGCTAACGGTGGTAGGGTTCACTTAGCCTACATTGCCCCTTTTGTCCTTAGCAATCCCTTCTCTGTCTTTTCTAGCCTAAACAAACGGGAAGACAATTTCCAAAGAGCCCCACGGGAAACTACTTTTGAATTTTGAGCCTCGCTGTGCAATGATCAGTTCTTCGTAGATCTATCGATGTATTGTTTTGAATTTAATCTAGATCTAGATCTATGTACTATATCTATGTTCCCCCACTAACAGGGGGCAAGCCCCCCTGAAACCCCCCTCCCCATGGCTAGTGCACATTAATTTAAATGTAGCCTGAACATGATGGGTCCACCAAAGTTCAATCCAGCCTTTTTCGAAGTTACAGTGGGAATAAGTGAATATAAAAGTAAGATTTCGAAGTGATTATTTCTTAAAACGTTTGGGAAAATCTCTATTTGTCCTAACAGTTTCCGTCCTCTCGATTTTTTAGTGCTATTTGCTAGAGTTCGGCGTCATTCTGCGAGGACAGGGAAGAACTGTTTTTTGCATTGAATTCAATTTCTAGGGCTAGAGAATTTTAGATGTCTGAATATTCAGATACAAATGTAGGCTTACTTCTATTGTGGTTGGGGCAGGCAACGTTCCCGGTCTATACTTCATATTTGAAAATGCCTTCTAAATTTACTGAGAAAACAAGACTGCTCGACTTTGGCTTCTGGTAAAAACCTTTGCATTTAGTCACCCCCAAAGCAAAACGAAATCACTAAAAATCCCTCCACGCCCTGTTCACTTCTTACACACACACACACTCGTGCGGGCCACTCCATTCGCAAATAAAAACAAAAAAATCTTGAGAACAGAAACAGTTCAGAGAAATAGAGTTTCAAGTTTATTTTCCAGAGCTTTCGGAGAAATAGAGTTTCAAGTTTATTTTCCAGAGCTTTCGGAGAAATAGAGCCAGCCATAAGATTTTCTCAATCCCACCCCCTTGAGGGGATTCAAAAACATATTACAATTCATTTTTTTTACTAAGGTGTGTGTGTTCTTGTGGGCATGATTTAGTTTCACTTCTGTTCATATTTTTGGCCTTTTTCTTTGCTTTCAGTGAGATTGATTTTTAGACAGAAAGCATTCAAAAGCTAAAAATAAAAGTGACACGTTCCCTCTTAGTGGCCTTAGAAGCTCTCTAGTACAGTTTGAATGTGCTCAACATTCCCAGACCTAGCCTATCTACACTTAGATCTGCCAGTGTATTGTCTAATTTTCAACCCCAGGTTTAGAGGTCGGTCTTCAGCCTGTATTTATTATAACTAAAATTTAGGTCTAGATAGATAAGAAAGATTAGAAGTAACCCGACCGGGGTGAGAATAACAATTTTTATTCCCACCCCGGGTTGGAATACTCTTTTCCATAAGTTTTTTTCTTCTAATTTTCTATTATATACCTAGAGTACTAGAGTGGCTAGCAATACTCATTACTCATTAACTACGGACTTAATCAAGAATCTAGGCTACTTGATAAAGGGAAGTTTCTAAAAATATGATCGACCTCTCACCCCGACTGTCTATCAGTGTGGATAATCAAATTGACAAAAACAAAGAAAAAAATGATGTAGCACAAAAAAACCCAAACTTATTTGGCCGTCTACAAAGGTGCTGCGGCTATTTCACTTTTCGAATCGAGCCGAACTACGCCGGCCACCATTTTGTTTAGCTCGGAAGTTCTCATTACTTCTTTCTCTCTCTCTTTTCCTAGGCCTAGGCCAATCTCTCTCCCCCCCCCCCCCTGTGACCAAAGTCAACATAAGTATTAAATTTAGTCCTACTTTTAGTTTTTGGAAATATGAAGTGGGGATGGATAAAAATAATGACATTGATCAATAATCATGAGAAGAGTGATAGGGATAGTTATTTTATACAAACCTTCCCTTCGCATTATGAACAGCCTTGAGAAACTTGTAGAACTTTATACATTTTTTGGGGGCTTGCGTGAAACAATGTTCATCATGTCAGAAAAATGTTTACTGGGAAGATACGCATTCTAAGTTTGATGCTTGTGCACTGGCTTGAAAAGTGGCTGCAGAATATAACCACATGGTTTAGGTCAGATACGCGTGTGAAACAAAATACTGGAAGACCTTTCTCTGTCTTTACAAGTAGACAATGGGAATGGGATGTAACAAAATCAGTTATGTAATACAAGGGTACCATGTTGTGTAAACATTTTAGCTTTTTACTTTCTCAATCTATGATTTGAGTTTTGTGGGTTGAGAAACTTAATTTTTTTTTTTACTTTTCTCTTTCAGTAAATTTCAGACGATGATGTGGCGGTTTGGTGTGGTCTTGTTGACTTTTCTAGTTCAGGCTGTGCCTATATTGTCATGTAAGTTTTTGACACTGGTTGCCAGTGTTTCACTCAAGTTTTAATGTCTCCATGTATGTCATATATAGATAGAGTAATCATAACATTTTTCTTTAAATTTCATCAGCATCAACTCTACATTTGATGATGAACCAACTTTCTGGAAGGAGATATTTGATTGATATTAAATGTGTAAGAAAGTTGCATTTCCTCAGTGTCATTTGTGATTGGATTTTTTCTATTTCAATCTAAGTCCAAATTTACGCTCCTCATGCACTATTTAATAATAATACTTTTTGTGCTGTTGTTGGGTTTTTTTACTTTTCTTTTATAGTTTTACCGTGTACAAGGTTTGTGCAATGTGAGTGTGGATGTGTTCCATATCAATGAGTGACATTTTAATTACTTGTGGAACGTTTTGAGCGAAATATGTACTTTACTACTTTTCTGTGCTCCTCAGTATGCTTGTTCCAGCACCTGTTCCCCACAGCCAAGCATCAGGCCACCCTGACCAACAGCGACTACCCAGAGTTTTCCTGGGGGGTTCAATGTTTCATCTGGTCCTACACGGGCGCTCCGGGAACAAGGGTTAGAATAAGGTCAGTTGGAATGTTTCCCTTGGGGGAGGGAGTTCAATGTTTCATTTCCTCCTACATGGATGCTTGCTTAAATGCTCATCTCCGGCTAGCGCTTTTTTTCATTAGCCTTTTATGTCACTTTCAGCGTTTCACTTGTCACTATATCGATGTCTGTGGGTCAGGTAAATACTCTTTGCATCTCATCTAGTTTTGTGGTAGCTGTTTGTTGCGCCTGGTTCACACCTCAAGATGGAGGAGACTTTGTTCACTCGAGTGACATTCTCTCTACAGCTTCATGGATGTGGACATACCCTTGGGCTCTGGCAATTGTGAGGAAGCGTCTCTCATGTTTGGGCCAGTCGGTGACAGGAAGTACTGCGGAGACAGCCTTGTTAAGGACTTCCCATCAGTCTACGTGACTTTGACCAGTAGCCAACAGAGGGTCTACGTTCTGTTTAACTCCACCTCTGAACATAGCCGCTCCCGGTTCAGACTAAGGCTAGACATTGGTAAGTTTTTTTTTTCTCTTCTTTCTTTTCCTTTTTCTCTCTTTTACAAGGATCATTGCCTTAAATCGGGTATCCTTGTCTTTCTGTTTGGACTTTGTGTCCCTCTCAGCCTGTGTTGACCCTGACTGGCAGGATCAAAGCCCGCTTCCTAAATGATCTTTATTGTACAGATGGGGATGTAAAACATTGACATTAAAGAAGAAAATGACAATGATAAAATAAAATAAAATAAAATTTTATCAGTGGGACATGAAACATCTACCGACATCCACAGACCCTGCTGGAGACGGTGTGGAGAGAACAAGTCCTGAGCCGCCAACAGCAAACATGCCACAGACCTCTCCATACTACACCCAGGCGGACAGCTCATCACGCTTTGGCACAAACTCCTGCCATTCTCTGCTCACATCGACCACCGGCGAGGTTAGGAGCAGCAGGGTTCTGACCTCGCTTTTGCTCAGCAGAGGTCAGTGCTCCTGGCTGCTTCGCACCCCACACTCCCCAGGCACCGTTGTTCACTACCGCCTCAACTTCCAGTACTGCCATCTGTACAGGAACGACAAGCTCAGTGTGTACAAGGGCGAGGAGCCAACTGGCCACCCCTTTGCCACCTACGACGGGTACGGTCAGTGCCCGTTCTTTTCCGTCATCAAGGCGGAGAGTGTGCTCATCACGTACAAGCCCGATGAGCGCTGGGTCAGGACCATGGGACCCGCCAACTTCACCATATCCTACGTGGCTAGTGGTGAGTCGGGAACTCCATTTTCTATTCCTTCTCTTGTCTTACTTGCACGCCAGCGCCCCAAGGCACAGAGATGGGTGCTTTGGTGTGGTTTGCCTCTTTTTTTTCTTTGTATGTTACTCTCTAGTTCTTTACTTTTACCTTTTCATCCTTTGTTGCCTTTAAGTGTCGAGGGGAGATGCAGTTTTCTATGGTAGGCCAGCTCCATAGCTCTTTGAATTGGGATATTATACACTGTTACTCTCTAGTAGCACCTCTAATCTTGAGCACTTATATGACCTGTTTATGTTGTAAGTGCTGTAAAACTCTTACTCAGACTAAGTTAACGAAAATGAGACTTGTAGTGGAAGATCTAGTTCTGTTGTTGTTTTTTTCTAGTTCTCTAGAGAGGAAAAGAATAATCTCCATGGAGTGACAGTGAAGCTGTGAGTCTCAATAAGGTGATAGAAAAACTGTGAGTCTTAATAGAATGATAAAGTTACAGTTAGCCTCAGTAGAATGATAAAGTTGCTGTGAGTTTTGACCAATAGAATGATAGAATTGCTGTGAGTTTTTAACCATAGATTGATAGAGTTACTGCAAGTCTCAGTAGAAGGATAGGATTACTGTGAGTCTCCATAGAATTATAGAATTAGTGTGAGTCTTAATAGACATAGTTGCCACTTTCCCGCTAAATAGCGGAAACTCCGCTTCATCTAGCTTTTCCCGCTACTTCCCTCCTTCCTCCACTGGACCGCTCTCGGTCGCAAATTTAGATACTTTTTATTTTTTACCCGCGGAAAACACTGAACCGGGAGAGAGACGAAAACGCGGCTTGCGCATGTCCACCCGTAGCTTTCTACTTCCGTTCTTCTAGGCACAGCGCTAGTTTCACATTGTTTATTGTTGTGGAGCAACACAGTGTCGATCGGGCATCGGGACGTTGGCGCGCCGAGTTGTCATTGAAAATGGCGGAAATTCGAGAGAAATTGATGCAAAATACAAAAATAAAAGGAGCTGGAATGAGAAAGAAGCAGCAGGTGTGCGACTTGAAAAGTTCATTAGAAAATTGAACTAGTCGCTTTCTGCACTTTGCGTTTGATGCGACAGAAATTGCGGCCCGCGGCTCTACTGTACAATTGCGGTCCCGTTTGTTTACATGACGGCTGTGGAAGTGAATCTTGATCTAGATCTAGATAATCTATCTCTAGATATAATCTAGATCTACACATATTTAGATATCTAGATTTTAGATCTAGATTAGATAGCCTAGACTATAATTTTAATTCAGTTTAGATCTCTAAATAAGAAACACTACAGGGGCACTAAGTGCAAATGGGACCGCAACCAGCCTCCTTGATCCAATACTACTCTACATCGGTGTACAATTTTAAAGTGAAAGAAATCTTTTTATGAGACACCAGCTGGCATAAAACACTGGATTTTTAGTCGCCAAGTCCAAACTGTCTAATTGACTCGAATGCTTGTTAGTCAACTTAGTGCCTTTATGGTTTTTTGTTATTGTTTTTTTTTTTTATCACTGGAGCAATGAGGTCAATGCCCATAGAAAAGATGGAACAAACAACATCTATAGTGGCCCTGCAGAGGAGATGGGAAAGCAAGGCCCTCATACAGTACACCAAGGGCCACAGCTATGGAGGATCATATACTGCACTTAAGAACAGCCAGATCAAACACCACGAGACTTCAGAGATCCAACTTCATCAAAGAAAGCAGAAAAATCCAAAGATCCCTACAGGACCATCTACCAGCCACAGTGAACATGCTGAATCACACCCCAGAGGCACCATCATGGGAAAAGTTAAAACACTAACATAATTATACTCATGTCCATTCCTATGTTCACCACAGAAGATGACCTCAGCGACCTGAGCAAGAAGTCCCTCGCCCTGTCCATGCTTGAACAAAGATACCCACGAGAAGCATGGATAAGGATCTATACAGACGGATCTGCTTCTGATGCTGTGAAAAGAGGAGGAGCCGGAGTGTACGTACAGTTCCCGAATGGACGACGACAAGCAGAGGCAGTCCCAACAGGGTGACATTGTACGGACTACAGGGCAGAGACGAAGGCTCTAATACATGCAGCAAATATCATCAAGAATGTGGTAGACCCCCAAAGCCAAGTAGTATTCCTAACAGATGCCATGTCAGTACTGCAGGCTATCGCTGCCGGCAAACTACCAAGGCTACGAAAAGTAATTGAGGACATCCCATGTCTGAGGATCATGCTGCAGTTGATTCCATCACACTGTGGTGTCTTAGGAAATGAGCAGGCAGACAAGATGGCCAAACTAGGAGCACAGAAAGAGCAACCAGACAACAGCGTTAACTACACAGAAATAAAAACTATTATAAATACACTATTTAAAGCACCTCAGACACCAGATAGCTACCATAAGCCATCGCGCCAAAAACAAGTGATTATCTTCCGACTAAGGACACAAGACTGAGACAACATATGTACAGATGTTTTAAACTAATACAATCACCAAAATGCCAGTGTGGAGAGTCGGACCAAACTGTTGAACACATCCTTCAGCACTGCAAGACACACAGGGCCCTGAGACAGGAAACATGGCCAACCCCATTGACGTTACATGAGAAGCTATAAGGGCCGACAGATGAACAGAGCAGGACGGCCCAATTTATGAAAAATACCAGACTTCAAGTGTGATGCGATCGAGAGGAAGAAGAAGAATATTTCTCCGCTGAGAAAACACCATGATGATGGATGAAAACAAAAATAAACTGGAGCAAGCTGTGAAATCTAATAGCTGCCCTGTCATTATGAATTTGGCGTAATTGTTCTGATTTATTTTGTTCCACTTTTTCGAAAATATGTTCGCAGCACCTGTGATTCAGTTTTTTAAAAATTATTTGTTTTGCTACTCAAACTAAACCCATCTTCACCTTCCAGGTGTGTAATGAAGAAACACGATCAAACACTGGCAGTCTATGCCACTACGTCACTATGTCACGTGCAGCTGTCTGACTTTGACACCCGCTCTGCACAGTGCCCATGTGGTTGCTCAGTGCCAGCTTGTTGTGGCAAGGTCAGGAATAATGCCAACATCTGTTTGGCAAAGAATTAAAGAATTCCTGCGCTCTAGCATTGTGGGTGACAGCAGAATTAAACAAAAAAAAGAAAAAAAAACCAACCGTTGCGGATCAAGTTTGAAACTTGAAACAATCAGCTGTGGTGTGAGGCATTGTATATAGTTATGCTCAATCAAGATCAAAGACAACCATTAGTTTCTTTTGTTTCTGCAAGATTCAAACTGATACCTTAGAACAACCCCCCCACCCCCACCCCCTTCCCCCCTGAAGAAAACCTGAAACCCCCCAGGAAATTTGTTTCCCTTGATGAGTGAATATCTTGATTATTGTTTGAACTAATCTATAGTCAGTCAAATGTTGTTGTGTTTGTTTGACCCATGTAAGACCAGACCATTGCCAGTGTGTTCACCTGTCTTTTGTCTGTCTGTCCACCAGTCTTTTGTCTGTGTGTTCACTACTACGCTGTCCATGTGTGTTTCCCAGGGCCTGACACAGATGACAATTTGATGAGCACCCCAGAGCCAGTGATAACTTGGACGACGGTGCGAGAGGAGACAGGTCAGGACCACAGGAAGACCTGTAACTTCCTCATTACGGCCAGCATGGGTGTGGTCAACACCAGCACAGATCTGACCTTCCCTTTGCTGGCTAGTGGTCAGTGCTCCTGGCTGCTTCACACACCCCACTCCCCAGGGACGGTCATCTACTACCGTCTCACCTTTAACAACTGCCACCTTTATAGGAACGATCAGCTCAGAGTGTACAAGGGCAAGGCACAGACCGGCTTTCCCATGGCCACCTACGGCAATGGTCAGTGCCCATACCACTTGACCGTTGAGTCAGAGAATGTGCTGATCACCTACCAACCTCATAACTTGGGCAGCTCTGCAGAATTGGCCAACTTCTCCATATCTTTTGTCAGAGAAAGTGAGTTCGCAAATCGCATGGCCTGTCTCTCTTCCTCTTTCTTTTCTTTCACTTTTCTGTTTATATATTATGCTGATCCTTCTTTTATGTTCCCTTGTTCTGTTTGTGTTGTTATATTTTATTACTTTGTTCTATTTATAGTGTTACATTTTATTCCTTTGTTCTGTTTGTGTTGTTACATTGTATTCCTTTGTTCTGTTTGTGTTGTTACATTGTATTCCTTTGTTCTGTTTGTGTTGTTACATTGTATTCCTTTATCTGTTTGTGTAGTTATGTGTTTTCCTTTTGTTCTGCTTATTTTGTTACTTTTTATTCCTTTGTTTTGTTCATGTTGTTCCTGGGAGGTTGACTGGGGATCTGGTGTGGTTTGGTCCTTCTCTTCTATCAAACTTCTATACATCCTTAGCTCTCTTCTTTTTTTTGTTTGTTGCTGTCTAGTGACTTATTATATGTTTTGCACTATATATGACTTGTTTGTGATGTAAGTGCGGTAAAACTCTTACTAAGCAGGAGGTAGGAGGGCGCCACTGGCAGGTTCTACTTCTTTTCTTTCCCTCTGTTGTTTCTGCCTGTCTGTCTGTCTTACTTTTTCCAAACGCTGAATGTCTATTTTTGTGGTCGATGTGCTTCTTTGTACTGTACTCAAGCAAAGCAAACAAACTTTTACTAAAACTAAGCAAAAAGTGACAGCTTTGTGTCCTGGAACTGAATACAACCTGTCCTCCTTGCTGGCTGCCATGGGCCAACCCAGTGGACATGTTTGTGGTTCTCTTAGATGATTTGGAGAAAGTATAAAGTGTTTAGTTTAACATTGTGCTTGTTGGGTCAACAAAAAGTCTATTTTGGAAAGTTGAAGGTTAGCGAAAATTAATTAATGTACTTGTAGAATGTCTTGTAAATTGGTAAGGAAAGTGTTTTGTCTTAACAAGTCCTGAGAGATAGATGCAAGTGGATGTTTCTCTTAGGTGTCAGTCTATCTAGTGTATTGTCACATATACGTAATTACACTACAGTTTATCTTGTGTTTTGCCGTATGTATATTAAACAACAGTCTATCCCGTATTTTGTGATGTGTATGTTAGATCTCATTCTAGCTTGTTTTACCCTATTTATGTCAGACGACAACCCTTTTTGTGTTTCATCATTTGTTCATAAGCTTGTGTCTTTTACGTAAAAATTGTCTTTTTAAAGTAATGATAGGCATCTGTGTCTTCCATGATGTCTGTTTCCATAGCAACAGTCAACTGTTTGCCCGGTCACCTGCCATGTGGTCAAGGAGAGCGGAGGTGTTACCGCAGGGAAAAGTCCTGTGACGGTGTGTGGGACTGTCCAGTCAGGGGAGGGGACGAGAAGGGATGTTCCAGTGAGTATTTTATATATATAATATATATATGTATGTATGTGTGTGTGTGTGTTATGACGCTGTGGAATCAGGCTCTCATCAATTTTTGAGCATGTAGAGTTATTGGTATAATCTCAAAGCTTGTTCAGTTCATTTGTCTTGCTTTGGATGAAAAAAATTTCCATTTTTCATGAATACAAATGAAGATATTTGCAAATGAAGGAGGTAGGGGTCACCTGGTTTCAGAGATAAAATAAGTAAGAAAATGGCCACGAAAGATTAGTCATTTCCTTAGCTTGAGAGTCTGTGGAAACTGAAAAATTAGTTTTTTTGTGCCTTTAATCTAAGTTTATCTGCAAAATTCACACAGAAATGTGTTCTTTAATGGGTATGAAAGGTGTTTGAGCCTAAAAAAGAAAAATTCAATAAAAATGCACAAACCTGCGGGAAAATGCCAGTTTCTTTCTTCACTTTGATTATTTTGACGAGCGCCTGATTTCACCACGCTGCCTCACACGCACGCACGCACACACACACACACACACACACACACACACACACACACACACACACACACACACACACACACATATAGCGGGGGTGGGGAGATGGTGTGAGGGATGTTCCAGTGAGTAATGCTTTACTTATAACAGGTGGGGGAAGGAAGAAGTATTGCTAAATTATATTCTTTTCTTGTCATCTTCTGTTCTATTTTTCTTTGCTCTAAAAATGACTGTTATTGTGTCTATGTGTTTCTCTTTCTTCACACAAACAAAACAAAAATAATGACCTTATCTGACATGTGTTGGGCTAAATTTGTTCTGTGGTCTGACATGTGTGGTAGGATTACTTTTTCGTGTGTTCTGTGCCGTGACATGACGGAGCGTGTTGTTGTGTTCTCAGGATGCCCCCAACACGAATACAGCTGTAACTTGACCTTGACCTACTGCTACAGGGAGGAAGACCGCTGTAACGGCAAGGAGAAGTGCTCCAACTACATGGACGAGATGAACTGCAGTATGTACTCACTTCCCTTTACTTCTCTGTAGAAATTAAATGGGGGTTGTGATTTTTAAGCCTCAATCGACACTGTTACGATCATTTAGGAAATGGGCTTTCGACCCTGCCTGTCATGGGCCAAACTGGGCTTAGAGGGATACAACCTTCCTGCAAAAAGACTGATATACTCAATTCAAATTTTCTCCCTAATAAGGAATTGAACGCGGGTCTCTTAAGTGCTACAGCGAAGTGCCTAACGGCTACAACACAGATACCGGTTTACTTATCTGTGCTCGCCGTCATTGGTAGACATCTTTTTACTGTCACTTTATGATGAAATGATAAACAATTGTATCTTGTGAGGGAAAATTGGAAAGAAAAGAGAGATCCACTTCATAGGTAAAATGTGTCCTGTCTTTTGTCTTAAATCTTGGTGACTGGAGGGTGCTACTGGTAGGTTCTACTATTTTTCTGCCTCACCATGATTTCTGTTTGTCCATCATACTTATATCGCATACATTAAATGATGTGAGGGTGGGGGGTGTTGTCTTGGAGAGGTGGTCATTAAAACAGATTTGACTGTATGTAGTTAATTGGCTGATAAATGGTTCTCCATACAGTGTATCTTACATTTGTAGATATATTGAGAAACAGGTTGTTCTCTAAATTGTGTGTTTTTCTCTTAATATCTCCTGTATCATCATCATAATCATCATTATCATCATCATCATCATCATCATCGTCATCATCATCATCAGCCTGTCTCAGCCTGTACTGGAGATTAGGCCTCCAACAAGAGCTCTCCATGTAGGACTGTCCTAGACTATAGTCTCCAGCTCTGTTCCGCCATGTCTCATCTCTTTTAGGTCTGCATCTAAGAACTTTTAGGCTCTCCTTCTTTCTCTTTCCTTGTGGATTCTGTCTGTATGTCATGTTTTATTTCTGAGCTCATTCACTGACACTTGTTGTGACGTAGCCATCTGCTCTTTCTCCACCCCGCCCCATTCCCGCATCTTCCCCCTTCCCCTCTCTTCGCCCTGCCCCACTATTTCCCCCTTCCTCTTTTCCTACCTTTTTCCTCCCTCCATCTCCTCCCACACCTTCTCAACATTCCCACCATCCCACCCCCTCCAATCACAGCTCCCCAGCAGTGCTCCAAAGAGAAGGGCCTGTTCCTGTGCAAGAACAAACGTTGTGTTTTTGAGAAGTGGCGATGTGACCACACCCGCGACTGTCAGGACGGCAGCGATGAGGAGAACTGTTCCTCAGGTATGTTCTTAGGGTTAGGGAGAGATTTGTTTCTCAGGTATGTGCTTAGGGTTAGGGAGAGATTTGTTTCTCAGGTATGTGCTTAGGGTTAAGGTTAGGGAGAGGTTTGTTTCTCAGGTATGTGCTTAGGGTTAAGGTTAGGGAGAGATTTGTTTCTTAGGTATGTGCTTAGGGTTAAGGTTAGGGAGAGATTTGTTTCTTAGGTATGTGCTTAGGGTTAAGGTTAGGGAGAAATTTGTTTCTCAGGTATGTGCTTAGGGTTAAGGTTAGGGAGAGATTCGTTTCTTAGGTATGTGCTTAGGGTTAAGGTTAGGGAGAGATTTGTTTCTCAGGTATGTGCTTAGGGTTAAGGTTAGGGAGAAATTTGTTTCTCAGGTATGTGCTTAGGGTTAAGGTTAGGGAGAGATTCGTTTCTTAGGTATGTGCTTAGGGTTAAGGTTAGGGAGAGATTCGTTTCTTAGGTATGTGCTTAGGGTTAAGGTAAGGGAGAGATTCGTTTCTTAGGTATGTGCTTAGGGTTAAGGTTAGGGAGAGATTCGTTTCTTAGGTATGTGCTTAGGGTTAAGGTTAGGGAGAGATTTGTTTCTCAGGTATGTGTTTACAAAGTTTCCACATGGTCGGGAAATCAGGAAAAAGTCGGGAATTTTGCGATGGGTCGGGAAGTCAGGAAAGGATAGGGCCTGTGTAGTATTAGAAGTGTAGCTATGTAGACAGGATGGTTGATGAATCATGAAGAGGAAACATATAGTATAGTATAGGGTTTTACGACGCTCGCAACTGCATAAGGTCATATGAGCGCGAAGGAAACATAATTGAATCAAGTTATGGCTAGGAATACAGAAGTGAGATATCATTGTTAAGTGTAATAAGCTATTAACAGGGTGACTGCCAGGCCCTAGAAAGTACCTGGTAATTTGAAAAAAATCACAGACCCCGGAATGCCCAGGAATTTGAGGAAATCTCTAAATTGCCTTGGGAAAGACCTGGAAAAATGCATAAAAGTTCTTGAACATTTGAAAACCAAATCCAATAACGTCCTTACGTTCATTTTTGCCGGTCACTATTGTGATATTCATACGGCTTTTCCCGTTATGAGAGTAGGTTTCATGCAAACAGGCGGCTACGGCGGCAGGCGGAAGTGTATGTGTGACACCGAGGCTCGATCGCGAAGAATCAAGATCTACTTTGGCTTTCGTTACCACTCAGAAATTTACTCGTAATAGTCTGATAGATAATGCAACATTTGTAACATGCAGGTTGTGCATTACACAGGGCTGTCTAAATCTACCAATTTTTCCGGTAGATACCGATTTTGGGGCTGTTCTACCGCCATACCGATAAGGTGTCAAAACTACCGGCGGGGGTCATTCTTGGTGCACAGCGGCCTTATATTTCCCACGAATTGGGTCTTGAAAAAAATTTCAAGGATTTGGTAGGGACCCTGGCTTAGGGTTTTATGGTTAGGGATAGATTTGTTCCTCAGGTATGTCTTAGGGTTAAGGTTAGGGAGAGATTTGTTTCTCAGGTATGAGCTTAGGGTTAGGGTTAGGGAGAGGTTTGTCTCTCAGGTATGAGTTTAGGGTTAGGGAGAGGTTTGTTTCTCAGGTATGAGCTTAGGGTTAGGGAGAGGTTTGTTTCTCAGGCCAGGTCTGTGCTTAGGGTTAAGGTTAGAGAGACATTTGTTCCTCTGATATGTGCTCAGGGTTAGGGTTAGGGTGAGATTTGTTCCTGACGTATGTGGTTTAGGGTTATGGAATGGAGTGTTTTTTTCCTCGGGTATTTGCTCAGGGTTAGGGAGAAATTTGTTCTTCGGGTATGTGTTTAGGGTTAGAGAGAGATTTTTTTCTTCAGGTATGTGGTTAGTTTTGGTTATGGTCATGGATAGATTTGTTTCTCGGGTGTGTGGTAACGGTAATGGAGAAGTTTGCTCTTCAGGTATGTGGTTAGTTTTGGTTATGGTCATGGATAGATTTGTTTCTCGGGTGTGTGGTAACAGTAATGGAGAAGTTTGCTCTTCAGGTATGTGGTTAGGATTTATGGAGAGATTTTGACATTTTGGGCCCCATACTTGTTGGACCCTCATTTTGACTTTTGACATGCCCTAGTTTTGGCTATTTGCCTGTCCTTGTTTTGACCTTTGTCCTTCCCTGTAGTAACTTTTGATATGCTGTGTGTTTGTCTGTAGTGCCGTCGACGCGTGTGATCGTGGCAGCGGTTGTCGGAGCTACGATGTGCGCCCTGTTGTTGGTGATCGTGCTGGGCTGTATCTGCAAGATCTTCTCGGCCCGCATGCATCAACTGGAGGCGGTCGCCCACACTGAGACGCCCCTCACCCGGCTACAGGCCGAGCTGTTCCGTCGTCGGGCCCCGCCCCCTCCATACAACGAGGCCATGGTGACCTCGCGACCCTACCACCAGGCCTGTCAGGAACTGTTGGCGCAGGGTCAGATGGGGGCTGAAGGTCACGAGGCCACGGCGCAGACACAGGACAGGGGAGATCAGCGAAGGGGCCGGAGACACAGGAACAGACGCTGCAGCGGACGTCATCGCCGCACCGGGGGGCAGTCGGCGGGTGTGTCTGGAGAGCTTACTCACCAAGGAGAGGTCAGTCCACACAGCGGTCAGCACCCCAGTGCAGCGGGGGAGGCTGGCGACTTGAATGTCCCACCCCCCTACAGCGTCCTTGACCCCTGCGCCAACAACCCCTGGCCTTACCTTGACTGCTCCAGCTCCACTTCGGAGGAGGACTGGCCGGAGGAAGACTCCGTCCGTCACCGTGGCGACGACGATGATGATGTTCCTTTGCTGGACTTGGGGGCTGGGGACGGATCTTCTGTGGACATGGAGATGACTTCTGCTGCTGTTGGGGGTGGTGTTTCGAACCCTAGCCTTTCATTCCATGACACGCTCAGCCGTAGCGCTCCTGCACTTGCTGACACGCACGGTGAGGCCATACGACCGTTGTGCACGCTCTTAGAGCTGGAGGAGGAGGAGGAGAAAGAGGAAGATACTGCCAGCAGAAGTCTGTCCATGGACTGGGAGCCGAGCTCCCCCCCTCCCCACCACTGTGCTGACAAACTGGACGCCACCGCCACGGTCATCTCTGAGGACTCGGACTCTGAGTGTATCCTGGGGGCTGACCACGAGGGCGACAGGGATGCTGCTGTAGCTCATGAGGAGGAAGATGAGGATGAGGAGGAAGAGGATGATGGGGATGCAGGTGTGGGTGTGGATACAGATTCAGACACCGCAGTTCTTATTCCTTAGGCCCGAGCCCCTTACCCCTCGGCCTGCCACTCCTCATTCCTCGCAAATGGTTGGCTGAGAAAATCTCTGCTGCATTCCTGAAATGTTTGTTTGTTTTGAGTGTGTATAAGACACTTGCTTATGGTTTTCATGTAGTTCAACGCAACCAAAGAGCGGAGAACTGAGACGAAATTCTCCCATAGTGGATATTTGAGAAACCTCTTGGTTTACTTTGGATTATTTTAATTTCTGCTGAGGATTCAGGGGCATGTGAGAATTTGGGGGTGTACTTTTGACAAAATGTGGGCGCTTATTTACTTTTCTCAAAGTCTAAGGGCTCGGCAGTGCTTCCACTCTTACGTATTTTTACGGTGTTGGGGGCTGAAGGTACTTTCTGTACTTGTTTTTCCATCATTATCAACTCCCTCCGTAAAAAACTGTGACAGTGTAGATCTACCGAAATTCTGAAGCAAAAAATCCGTGCTCGACTTCGTGCCGTCTTGTATAATTTACGGTAATTGTCTCGACAATAAATCAGTGTTATAGAGACCTGCCAGATTGCGCATTTCCTGCAACCGGCCATTATTCTGCTATGCCCCATGCGTTCATTGCGGGTTGGTAGGCAGTACATTTTTACCTGGAGATTGATCGAAATCTGGTAAACTTTTTGTGACAATTTCCTCCTTTCTATCATTCACTCATTCTGTCTGTCTATCTTCGGACTGTTGCTGCGGCTGGAAAATATACGCGTTGATCAAGTAAATTGACTTGTGATCTTAGGCAGAAAATTACTGTCAGAAAGAAACTTGCTTGCAAATTTATTGTCTAGATCTAGAGAAATTATCAATGCGAAGATGTAACGGCACAGGAACGCAATACAATAGTCTCCGCCTAAACGCACGGTGCTCGGGAGGGCTCCTGAGCATGTGTTTACACGGAGCGTGCATTTACATGAACCTTAGCGAAGGGAGGAAGGGACGCAGTCATCTCAATTCTTTATTACTCTGGTAATCTCCCTTGGAGGAGGGGGTCATTTTGGCAGATAATGTATGACACGTGACTGTTTTGTGAAGGATTCCTCGGCAGGGGTTAAGAATACAAAGGCGTTGAATGGGGGGGGGGGGGGGCAAACTCAAAGTAATGAATATGCTCACTATAAACATCGGGAACAGATAGCCTATGAGGAAACTGTTGGTGATAGTCATAGAGACGACGGACCAGCCACGTGGCTTTCCAAGCGACCGCCCCCGACCGTAAATTCATGCAGAATCATCCTCGAGAAACATTTTGTCTTGTGATTCATTGAACTAGTACGTTATAAGTTCTTTGAACTCAGCTTATTAGGCTTACTAGGCTAATCTTCACTCCTATAGAGGCCTGTCTAGTTTTTACGGCATTTACGCATTTCGCACATCACTCCTAGGTCTAACTAAACATTACACGCAGTCACTCAAACTCAAACACAAGTCAGAAACCTTCTCTCAAAGATACATTTCCAGTGACCAATCAAAAAACATTTCAGTCCCCCCACCCCGAATCCCCCCCAACATTTAACCGACCAGCCCTAGACCGAGACCTATGCGTCAGTGGAAAGTAGGGTGTGTAAACCGTACGCTGTCTATCACTCTCTTTGTCCGGCGTGAGGGGCACTCTCACCAAATATCCGGTTTTCTAGTAAATTCTAGGCTTGCCGTATGCAGGCTGTGCAGGTTGTCGTTAAAATTTCCCCTTGCCAAGCTTAACTTGTCTGCGTATTTCGCGGATGGGAGCGTGCGTTTAGAGGGAGTGACCGTGCGTTTGTACATCTAAATTATATAGTAAAAAACCTCTCAGATGACGAAAGCGTGTGTTTGAGCGGAGCGTGCTTTTGTATGGCGTGCGTTTAGGCGGAGACTACTGTAAGGGCCGCAGTGAAAAAATTTGTGCTAAAACTACTAAAATGAAGAATAATTCGAAGTGGTGTTCCGAGGTTGTTACATGCTACATTCAGAAGTGAAAATTGTGGAAAATTAGGGTACTCACTGGGTAACTGTATTGTGAAGGTGCATATCTATTCATTATTCCTTGGTTTGCCTTTAATCTATTTTGCAATGACAAATTAATTGAATTATAGTTGCAATGGAAGAGGAACCTGCTTTTAAAGATTGCCAGCAATGGAAAGATAATGTAGGTGAAAAAATCAAACAAGGTAAAATATTGGCGAACAAATAAATGTTATAGGTTGTAGGCAATCTCTTCAAGCAGGCTTCCAAATGCCATTTTTATCCTCTAAGAGCACTAAATTTCAAGGAACCTGATGGGGGCCCCAGACCCCCAGCAAAATGTTCCATACTTTTCCGCTTCAGTTGGTGGCAGCACTGCTTGGGTATACTTTTGACTAAGTTTGAGGACCTTGGTGTATTTCTGACTATCTGTAAGGGCTTAGAATACCTTTGACAGAATATGAGGTCTTCAAGAATACTATTTTCCTTACAGTTGATGTATTAGAACAGCAGTGATTGGGTACACAGAGGTGATTTACTGCTGAAAAAAAATCTAATCAATGCGAATGCCATTCTCGTTCTCTGAGGTTATTTGGGAGGGGGTGTTGGTTTTTTGTTTGAGGAAGATTGCATCTAACAATCAAATTGTGTAACGGTACTATGGCTCTATCACTGCTTACAGTTTTTTCAGTGGGTCATCATCTCTGCATTACGTCTGTCACTTTTCTTGAAATGGCCGTGTAAACTGTTTCGTAAAACTATCACAGGCCATGTCAACTGAAACTGGCATAACTGAAAACAGACTTTTAAATCTACAAAAAAAATTTGATCTGCAAATTTATAGACATGGCATATTTTATCCTGCTTTGCAACAGAGTAAAAAAATCAGGTGCTGGAAAATTTTAGTTGTCCCATTTTTTTGCGGACAGGATTAATTTTTTTCCCTGGATCTGGGTGAAAAGAAAAGGCTGGGTTGTGTCTAGAGTTAAGCCTGACCATGAGTAACCACTTCTTACATTTCTCAGTTCTGTTGAATGTACAAAACTTACACTTCTGATTTCTGTTATATGTACAAGGTTTTATCAATTGTCATTTAAAAACTGAATGATAATTTTATGCCTTTCAATGTACTGATTTGTTAGCAAGAGGGATATGATTGATTGTGTATATAAAACGATATGCACAGGTGGTCTGTGACAGGAATTTCATTGGCTAAATATATCATCGCTGCCTTTCATCATTGTCATATGTCATAATACAAGGTTTTTAGGAGAAGCAAAACAACTGGGGGGTGGGGGGGGGGGTTGTGATCTTAATACAAATCGTTTAATTTAAATTCGCCTCAATCCAGTGCTATTTTAAGACTAGGAATGAAACTAGGACCAATTGATGCTCCTCCTCAAACTTTACAAGACGTTTGGTATTAATTTTTTAATTTCTATTTTGACGTAGGACAATGTTGAAAGATGGCGACAATATGTAAAGACATGCTCTGGTTGTCTCTTCTCTTTGTTGTGCCTTATGCTGATGCTGGGAGGTGTTCCGGTGTCCTGATGAGCCTTGCCTACTTTGACTTTCCTTTCATCCATCTACATAGATGACAACTGTAACTATCTCTCTTCATGGGATACAACATCCTAGTAGAGTCATAGAATACAGTGGAGTCCACTTATATGGATATTTGCAAGACTGCTGGATTTTCATTGGCATAGCCAGGTTTTCGGTTTAAAGAGGTTGCTCAAATAGAAGGGGAAAAAATATGGAGGGGTGCTTGTTTTCTTTCTGTTTACCGCTGTTTTCTGATTAATCATGTTCTGTTTAAGTAAACGACACTGTATTTTCCCCTCTCATGACTGGAACTCACTAGTTCTGCATGCAAAGATAAAGAGCCTAATGAATGCGCCTTAGATGGTGATCCCATGTAGCTGTGTATGTGAAGGAAGTGAGAGAGGGTGCCTTAAGAATCCTCTCTCTGTATCTCTTCTATCTACTGCTGTCTGCCAACTTGTCTCATGTCTTTTGCTCACTATTCCACAAGTAATTGTAAATAGCAGATTATCTGTCCCTGCCCCACCTCTTTTATCATTGTTTAAGAGGATTTTGTCACCGCCATTGAACCTTGTAGTTTGTCAAAATTTTGAAACAAATGAAAGTCAATTGTATTGTTGAGTTTGAAGAGGCACCTTGACTGGTCCTAGTCTCATTCTTCTTAAAGTAATCACCGATTTGTATGAATTTAAGGTTTTGTATTTAAAAAGTTTTTTTTAACAAAATAAAAATCTTTTGTTTCTCCTGAAAACCTGAACTTTTGACACAAGACAATGTCGAATGCCGGGGACATTTTGACATTAATTAGCAGAATAACTGCCCCTGCCCCACCCCTTTTTTATCACTATTCAAAGAGCATTTGTAAATAGCAGATCGTCTGCTCCTGTCCCAATTTCCCCTTTTGTCATTATTTATTCTCCCATGACGTTGTGGGGAAATTCTGCTGTTTGTAACCTGTTACTACAATGCTTATCTTTTTATAGTTCTTGAAGTTGTAAAAGAACATGTTTTATTACTGTGCAAGAATACACCTAAAGCTAAATGTTGTTTGTCTTTCAGTCGTTGCTAAGATAGGATAGGTGAGGTGTAAATTTTGTTTGTTGCTAATATCATACGAATGGGGTGTAAATTTTTTTTGTCAGTTGTTGCTAAGACCGGCTGTGTGGGATCTGGAGGGCTGAGGAATTTCAACACCCACCCTCCACCCTCAGATTTGTTGTTATACCCCAGTATTTGTCATTGACCTCTATATTATGTATCCTGTGCCCATATGTGACTTCGCTGTGTGACCTACTTACTTGACCCTGGGGCACATGTTCCATTGATGATTGTTCTACTTCTGTTTGTAGCAGGAAGGACTTCAGCTCTGTGCCATCTCACTGTGCTCTGTCTGTCAGTTAACTGTTTTGTTGTCTGTCGGTCTGTCAGATAACTGTTGTGTCTTCTTTTTGTCTGTCAGCTCACTGTCTTCCGAAAAAAAAAAAAGAAAAGAAGAACAGGTGTCTTTATGTGTATAATTTGTTTATGGCGAAATGACCCGACGACTGTCACTGATGGTTCTGGTGGCGACTGTGTTATCTGTGTGTATTTTTGAATGTGTCTATGTATGTGTGGAGTGTGTGTGTGGTCACTCTGTTAGACTGAGTGGTCATTCCTGTCTGGCTGCATCTAGAAAGTCTCACAAAAATCTGTTATTGTTGTTTTCTTGATTATTCCACAACGAAAGTGCTTTCATTTTTTTTTGGGATGTACATTATGCTTTTTGTATGTCCATATGTATCCACATTTTCTTGATGTGTCCATATTCACATGTATTGTACTAACCCGTGCGAGTAGCCTACATGTCTGTGTTTGTGTATGTGTGTTCCGGTGGTCATGCTGAAATGTGTTTGTGATGTGATGTGTTGGTGTGCTATGTTTGCGATGTTTTGTGTTGTGTGCTATGTTTGTGATGTGCTGTGTGCTATGTTTGTGAAATGTTATGTGCTATGTTTGTGATCTTTTGGTGTGCTATGTTTGTGAAGTGTTCATGTGGGTTCTATGTTTGTGAAGTGTTCATCATGTGCTATGTTTGTGATGTGCCGTGTTCATGTGCTATGTTTGTGTTGATGAGCTAATATTTTTTAAAGTGTTGGTGTGCTATGTTTGTTCTTCACACAAAAATGCCTTTGTGTAACCATCCACTAAACTGCTAGCGGGTGGGAAGTTGTCTCACATGTAGGATTTTTTTTGTGTGTGTCTGTGGGGAGGGGGAGGAGGGAATGTGTCTGTGTTTATTTATATGTGCGTGCGTGTGTGCTAAGTGTGCTGTGTTTGTATGTGCAGTGCTATGTGAGTATGGGCATACCGTGTGTGTGTGTGTGTTTATTTGTACCAGTCTCTGACCAACCAAAAGTAATCAAGCCTGCTATGCCCCCCACCTTCCGGAATGTGTGTGTGTGAGCGTGTGTGTGTGTGCGCGTGTGTATTATGTGTGTGTGCGCACGTGTGTATTTTGTGTGTGTCCTTGTATTATGTGTGTGTGTGTTTGTGTGTGGTTTAAGAAGACACTTTCTGACTCTGTGTATGACAGCCTACAATTGTCTCGTTGTGAGTGGTTGGCAGGTGCTCTGCTGTGGTTTGCTCTTTCTTTCCTGTCAAACATTTATCATCCTGATTTATCCTCTTTTCTTTTATTTGTATGTGACTTTCTTGTGTAACACCTCTAATCTCCAGCTACCCCTCGTGTCTTTAGGCCATTCCCAAAGGGGGGACATTTCTTGTTCAAGCATAGTAGAATTGTAAATGGGCTGACTCATTTCACGCTCATAACTGTGCCTGATCTACAACAGGGAACTGCTGCTTTTTCTTTCCTGATCCTTACTATTGACATTTTCCTCTACTTTGTATGTTTGTCACACTCTTGTGACCTGCTATTTCTGGGATACCTTGATAGTCGAAGCAGACCTTGTGCTGTTGAAGGTAGAGAGGTGAGCAGTCTAAGTCTGATTCCCTGCAAAGACTTTTCTGTTGACACCCACCCCTTGGCGCTCATATGACCTTTTGCATTTGCGAGCGCCGTAAAACGCTCTACTATTTAAAAAACTATATTATCTCCAGCTTTTATATTATAACCTATTTGAGCTGCAAGTGCCGTTAGACCCTAACTAAAACTTTCTCTCTGTCTCTGTCTCTCTCTCTCTGTCTGTCTCTCTGTCTGTCTG